TCAAATCTTATTAAGAAATTATGTAAATGACACTCTAGTTGGGAAGTGTTGAGATAGCAGTTGAGATTTAACACAATCCCAAACTCAAAATTACTGAAAAAAAAAAATAAATAAATAGAAAGTAATGGAAAGTACAGTGAAATTTTTTAAACCCAGCATCCAGTATACTAGCAAATTGGATGAGTTGTCATGTCCAATTCATCATTGGGAGTTATTGATACACTGGGTAGGTCCAGAATTACGATTTTCATGTAAAAGTGCCCAAAAAGTGCGCATCTTGAAAAGGATTGTGGATTCTCCTTTTAGAGATAATGAATGCCAAGAGGACATGATTCTGTGCTAGGTAAAATCAGTTATCTTATGAATGATTTTTGTAAAGACTGTTCCAAAGACATCAGTGCACAGGTTTGATATGAGAATTAGAAATATTTAGCATACTTGGAATCAATAATTATCATGGAAACAGCTACAGTACATTACTGTTTATGTACTTTAATAATTAGAGTACATCTGTATTTATATGCAATAAAAGTGTATCTAGCACAAAGTAAAAATAAAGTGGTGTTCTTGTTTCAAGCCAACCAAGGATAAGAATAACTGGAAAAACTGAAATAGCATGTTAAACAATCATAAAGCAGATTTGTACAGTTTTACACATGAAGATATGTATGAGGGGTGTCCAATAATTAAGATACAGGCTAGAATTACACTAACATTTATAAATAAAGAAAATATATTTAATACATTCTACAAAAACTGCATACTTTTGTTTATTTTTTGACACAATCTCCATAAATGTTGAGACATTTATCTCAGCATTACGCTAATTTGAACGTTCTGTTATGGTACTGTTGCTTGTCAAGTTGCATGATGTAGTCTAGAACAGTGTCTTGCAATTCCTTCTGATCTGCAAAACGCTTCCCTGCCAAAAATTTTTTTAAGCATAAGATCAAAACTAATAAAACATGCTTACAGTTAATTTGAATCCTTATCAAACCAGGGCATCGTTTTATCCAGCTCCTTGGTGTAGATGGATTTCCCTCTTTGCTATTTTGGATTGTCCTTAGAAAAAAAAAAGGATGTTTCTGGAAAGTGGTAAAAGTCCCCTTTTTGTCTACAAAAAACAGAGAAAGGGGGTTTTGTTGTATCTTCCCAAATCTTATCTCATTTTTTTATTTTGTAACATGGATACTTTCTCTCTTGGTTCACAACATACGAAAAGAAAAATAACACACCTCTCTCTCTCAAAGTTCCACTCCTGACTCCTTTCCATTCAAAACTACGCCTCTTTTTCTACCACTGCCCATGTGTTGCCAATTTCCTTTAGTCAAAATATATAGAAATAATTCAAATCAATGAAACATAATTGTGTCAAGAACAGACTATAAGAAGTATTCCACAGTTTAAAATTATATCCCTAGATTAACCTTGTAATATTTTATTTTATTTACATACAACAGCATTGCTTTTTGCCATTTTGCTAATGTAACTGAAAGTAAAGATGACTTTATATTTATTTGTTACCTTGTTTTAAACTGTAGTGTATAAATCCATTTTGTATATTTTTTTTCATTTGATGTTCATCATTTCCCCTTACTAATAATTAATGAAATGTTGTCCTTGTGGTGTGATAGCGGGGATCAGAGTCATCCTTAAGGATGACTCTGATCCCCGCTATCGCACCACAAGGATAACATTTCATTTATTATTATACCAAATAAACAAACTTACAATTATCATACAAAAGAAATATTAAACACTTAGGCTATGTACATATTACTTGTCTAGCTTCAACACGACACTACCGGCTACCTATAGGCAGATAGGTGGGAAGATGGCTTTTTCCCCCCTTTATATGAGTATTCTTCTTGCGAAGGACATTAGTTCATCTGCAAGGTTTCTGTCTCTTATTAAATTGTAAAGTTCTAGAGTTCGAGTGTTGGTATTCAGTTCGTGTAGACTAGAGAGTTCTGTTCTTTCTCTCCTGTATTTATAACAGTTAAGGAGTAAGTGACATATATTCTGTGTTTCCTCTCCACAGTCTCAAGTATCTATCTGATGCTTTCCGATTTTCTTGAGATATTCGTAGCTATTGTTGTGACCTGTGTAAATTTGACTAGTGATATAGTTGACCTGGAGCCAACTTAGGTCTTTGATTCACTCTTCTATACTTGGCAAGAGCCAAAATGTATGCCTTCCTTTCTCTGAGTAAGACCACCTATCTTGCCATTCTGTTACAATTTCATCTGTTATCAGTCTCTTAATACCGAAAATCGGGATTTTATTGTGAGTCACCACCGTCGTATGTGCTGCCTCTAATCTAAGAGGCCGGCATGCTCATTCCCTTTTATTCCGCTGTGAGCTCTTATCCGTCTCATTTTTATATTGATGTCACTCTGATTTATCATCTTTTTAATATTGAGAGCTGTCATATTGGTATCAGTGAATTGCTGCAAAGTATTTAATGCTGATTTACTGTCTGTATTGACAATAATTAGGCCAGACATCTGTGCTGTTATCACCCATTCCATCGCCATTTTTATAGCATGCAGTTCAGCCTGGTAAACTGAACATCAGTCATTCAGTCTATGTTGCTCAGTATATATTTCTCTGCCTTCATATATTGCCGTAAAGGCAACACCAACGCATCCATTTACCCCATTTTGTATTAATTACAATAATATTTTTATGCTGTTTAAATTATTATTAAATAACTTAGAATACAATAAAGTTCATTAAAAATAAATCTTGGCTGACAGTATTTACATTAAAATACGTATAAATAAAATTTACCAAAGCTACAAAATTGTCTTCGTGATCTGTTGTAACAAACATAAGAGACTTTCCAAAAACAATTTTCAGTTATGGAGACAACCATAAAGTACAATAGTTAAATAAATGTTCATATAATGTTTTCTAAAAAGTAATAGAATGAACGAAACAGAATTTTGACATTCTATTGGATGACCTGACAATTACACTTCATCAGGTCCAAATCTATCCATTTTGATATATGGAATTGACAAATTTGATGGCCTTACAATTGCAATACATCAGGTTGAGTAAGGAGTTTCATTTTTGGTTGAACAGTTATAATTAATATTTTTGACTCAGTGCAGTTTAGGAGATTCTATCTGAATTATTATTTTTTTATTTTACTGATTTTATAATTACATCTGCAATGAGTTACTTATAGAAACAAAAACAAAAAAAAATGAAATGGGAAGATAGAATGTTTGAGCTGTCATTTTACTAATGGAATCTAAACTTTGTATAGGTTAACTGATATGTTTTTAATGGCAACTTCCAAGGTGTAGGTTATACTACATTTTTATTTTTACTGTAGCAATTTTCTACAGCTAAATACACTGCTGTGGGTTATATGCCAGAAATTACATTAATTAATTTTAGGAATATCTAGTAAAAGAATAATCATAGCTGGATTTAAATTCACAAATTTTATTAGCATCAAGTTAATACATTGTCAATTAAAGAGAGTCACCTGTATAATTTAAGATGGACTTTTCTGGAATGTTATTTACTAATTAAATAGGTACCATATTTCTGTGCATATAAGAGCATGCTCTTATAGATGAGGCAAAATTGGCACTATATTGTACAAAGTGCTGAAAAAAACTCGCTGCAGGAAATCCTTGTTAGTTTGAAATTCAGGGGATGAAATATTTGCAACTTCGAGTTATCAAATTTCAAATTATCAAGATTTACATATTTCTGTATAATATGCCAAATGCCATGTAACTGATGTAATTTATTAAGCAAATGGGATATGCTATTTTCATTAATTAATAATAATAAATAATAAAAATAAACTGCAGGTAAACAGCATGTATCCAGTTAGAACCTTACAAGTGAAGCAGATCCAAATTGGATCAAAAACGTTTGTCACAACATATTTGTTTTAAATATATTTTTGTGCTGGTATTTTTGAAGGTTTTGTGGAGTTATTTAATAGTTTATAACCAGCTTTGTGAAGATTCAGAGAGAACCTCACAGGTCGTCAGATAGGTTTTATAAAAAGTAAAGCAGAATTCCTCAAAATGTAGCCCAAATTATTTTTAAAGTGGCACAAAAAGTAGTAAGTTGCCCAAATGTAATAGCCTAGAGCCCTACAAATATCTCAATCTGCTACTTGTAGCCAAATCTTGCAATCCTAAAACCCAGACGTATTTTATGAAATGAGAGAAAAACAGGGTCCATGTGTAAATGACATCCGAAAATCTGTTATCATAAAAGCAAAGTCATATTGACCAGATTAGAGTTGTTCTTGGTCTATCATTCTCTTATAGCATGTAGGCACTTTGATCTAATTGAATGTGTTAACATATGCATATCACAGTTTGGGCAGAATTTTCACTTTGAATTACAAAGCCGTATTTCAAACTAATCAAATTCCTTAACATGTAAGTCTCTATATCCCTAGCCAGGACAAAAGTACAGTTATGAATTAATGGGATTTTGAACTATTTGAGTTTGAATTAATGAGGATTTCCTGTATTTTTAAAACAACTTTTATAATATTAGAAGCATTTTTAAAAATTTTTACTAATAGTTACCACAGAGATGTTATTTAGTAGTTACTCTACATTTATACTTAATTTACATTGACATAGAAGCACTTATGCTTCTATGTCAAAACAAACTGACACACATAAGAGTGCACTCTTATATGTGAGGTATGCTCTTATAAGCAAAGCAGGATGTGTGTTTCAAAATTGTGAGAGCAAGTGATTTTCACTTAAGAGCATGCTCTTATATGTATGGAAATACTATAAAATTAATTTATTTGGATCTCACATTGAGCTAGAAATGAATAATGTCATTTTAAATATATATAGTTGTCTTTGATAACTTTTGGTTAAATAAGAAATGAAAATATATATCTTTTTGAAAAATTATTTGCATTTATTAGTTTGTATTGATTCAAATTTAAAAAGATAATGTAGTTATAAATATAACTTTTTTGAATAATTTATTTACAGGTCAGGAGAACATGGAAATGCTATAAGAATTGAAAAATTAAGATATACTGGCAAGGAAGGAAAAACTTCTCAAGGATGCCCTATGGCAAAGTGGATAATAAGGCGATCAGGAGTGGAAGAGAAGATTTTGACTATAATTCGGCATCGACCTGGACATAAATGCGCTACAGCATATATTATAATTGCAATTGTGGTTTGGGAAGGTGTGCCATTAAAAATGGCTAATGAGTTATATAAAACTGTTGTTTATAAAACTGTTAATTTTGGAATTCCTACACAAAGACGATGTGCTATGAATGAACAGTAAGTGTGTTTTTATTTTATTTTATCTATTTTGGACTTGTATAACTGTATCACAGATACAATTATACAAGTCCTGCAACAAAATTGTCCCACTAAATGTTTACTTTTAATTGTTTTATATGTAACATTGGTTTTGGTTTTCTTTATAATAATGTATTGTTGTTGCTGTATACATTTCAATGAAGTGATATACTGTGTCTGAATGAATTTAAATAAGTATACGCAAACAGTTTTGTCTGTAGACATTGCTACACTCTATCACGTATGGGGTTTTGTTAATTTATACTTTGGGGTATATCTTCCATGCCAAATGGCATTGCCTTTTGTTTTGATCAAATAAATAAATAATATTCCATCTCCCCTTGGCCATGAATCAGAATAGTCTAACTACTGATTTATGACTGGCAGAAACATGTGAAACATGCAAATCATTGCTACTTTATAACTGTTTGTAGCCAGCTGTTCATTTTGCAAAGTGAAATCAAAAACACAGCATCTGGAAAANACATTAGACTGGCATTTTTAACAGCAAAACAAGGTCATAAAATACGCACGAACTTATGGACTGACCTAATAGTATAACTGCCTCTGTTTTGAGGTAGTAGGAGCTCCATTACAGATGACTTGCCTTGGAGCTCAACAAACAATCTCAGAGGGAAAGTATGGTGATCAGTCAAAAAAATGACCCCTCTCCAGATTTCTACATTTTTGGACTCAGAACCTTGAAACATTAAAAAATGCAAAAAATTGGGTTTTTTTTTCCCTGTCTGTTTGTCTGTCTGGCATGATTTTGTTCACCCTCTTTGAAGCTTAATAACTCCTGTGCTTTTTGTCAAAAATTTCTGAAATTTTGTAGCAAGGTTTGTTTATTAGGGAATTGATGCTATTATATCAGATATTTTGATGATTAAATGTCGATGGGGTGGGGAGATAAAGGAAGTTGTATATATCTCCAGTACGGTCAAACTTAATGATGATTTTACTTAGATCATTTATAATTTTTTTTTATAAGATCCATCCCTATCCTCAAAATTGAGCTTTTTGCCATTTTATAATAGTTAAAAATATAAAAAGTTTTTTTTAAATAAACAACAAATGGCACCACCAAATGTTGTCAGGAAAGTTAAGTACTTGTTGCTGGATTTTTTTATATCTGACCATAAATTTATATTAGACACTGTATCTTATATACCTATATCTTGAAAGCTGATAAATTTTCAGTAATCTTTTCTTTTTTTTATAAAAGATTCTCAGAGAATTATTTAAAAACCAACTGTCAATTTTTACATACTTTCTGCAGTAAATAAGGGTTAACCAATTGACTTTAAAACTTGTACAGTGGACATTGTAGAATTCTCTGATCCCCGCTATCGCACCACAAGGATAACATTTCATTTATTATTATACCAAATAAACAAACTTACAATTATCATACAAAAGAAATATTAAACACTTAGGCTATGTACATATTACTTGTCTAGCTTCAACACGACACTACCGGCTACCTATAGGCAGATAGGTGGGAAGATGGCTTTTTCCCCCCTTTATATGAGTATTCTTCTTGCGAAGGACATTAGTTCATCTGCAAGGTTTCTGTCTCTTATTAAATTGTAAAGTTCTAGAGTTCGAGTGTTGGTATTCAGTTCGTGTAGACTAGAGAGTTCTGTTCTTTCTCTCCTGTATTTATAACAGTTAAGGAGTAAGTGACATATATTCTGTGTTTCCTCTCCACAGTCTCAAGTATCTATCTGATGCTTTCCGATTTTCTTGAGATATTCGTAGCTATTGTTGTGACCTGTGTAAATTTGACTAGTGATATAGTTGACCTGGAGCCAACTTAGGTCTTTGATTCACTCTTCTATACTTGGCAAGAGCCAAAATGTATGCCTTCCTTTCTCTGAGTAAGACCACCTATCTTGCCATTCTGTTACAATTTCATCTGTTATCAGTCTCTTAATACCGAAAATCGGGATTTTATTGTGAGTCACCACCGTCGTATGTGCTGCCTCTAATCTAAGAGGCCGGCATGCTCATTCCCTTTTATTCCGCTGTGAGCTCTTATCCGTCTCATTTTTATATTGATGTCACTCTGATTTATCATCTTTTTAATATTGAGAGCTGTCATATTGGTATCAGTGAATTGCTGCAAAGTATTTAATGCTGATTTACTGTCTGTATTGACAATAATTAGGCCAGACATCTGTGCTGTTATCACCCATTCCATCGCCATTTTTATAGCATGCAGTTCAGCCTGGTAAACTGAACATCAGTCATTCAGTCTATGTTGCTCAGTATATATTTCTCTGCCTTCATATATTGCCGTAAAGGCAACACCAACGCATCCATTTACCCCATTTTGTATTAATTACAATAATATTTTTATGCTGTTTAAATTATTATTAAATAACTTAGAATACAATAAAGTTCATTAAAAATAAATCTTGGCTGACAGTATTTACATTAAAATACGTATAAATAAAATTTACCAAAGCTACAAAATTGTCTTCGTGATCTGTTGTAACAAACATAAGAGACTTTCCAAAAACAATTTTCAGTTATGGAGACAACCATAAAGTACAATAGTTAAATAAATGTTCATATAATGTTTTCTAAAAAGTAATAGAATGAACGAAACAGAATTTTGACATTCTATTGGATGACCTGACAATTACACTTCATCAGGTCCAAATCTATCCATTTTGATATATGGAATTGACAAATTTGATGGCCTTACAATTGCAATACATCAGGTTGAGTAAGGAGTTTCATTTTTGGTTGAACAGTTATAATTAATATTTTTGACTCAGTGCAGTTTAGGAGATTCTATCTGAATTATTATTTTTTTATTTTACTGATTTTATAATTACATCTGCAATGAGTTACTTATAGAAACAAAAACAAAAAAAAATGAAATGGGAAGATAGAATGTTTGAGCTGTCATTTTACTAATGGAATCTAAACTTTGTATAGGTTAACTGATATGTTTTTAATGGCAACTTCCAAGGTGTAGGTTATACTACATTTTTATTTTTACTGTAGCAATTTTCTACAGCTAAATACACTGCTGTGGGTTATATGCCAGAAATTACATTAATTAATTTTAGGAATATCTAGTAAAAGAATAATCATAGCTGGATTTAAATTCACAAATTTTATTAGCATCAAGTTAATACATTGTCAATTAAAGAGAGTCACCTGTATAATTTAAGATGGACTTTTCTGGAATGTTATTTACTAATTAAATAGGTACCATATTTCTGTGCATATAAGAGCATGCTCTTATAGATGAGGCAAAATTGGCACTATATTGTACAAAGTGCTGAAAAAAACTCGCTGCAGGAAATCCTTGTTAGTTTGAAATTCAGGGGATGAAATATTTGCAACTTCGAGTTATCAAATTTCAAATTATCAAGATTTACATATTTCTGTATAATATGCCAAATGCCATGTAACTGATGTAATTTATTAAGCAAATGGGATATGCTATTTTCATTAATTAATAATAATAAATAATAAAAATAAACTGCAGGTAAACAGCATGTATCCAGTTAGAACCTTACAAGTGAAGCAGATCCAAATTGGATCAAAAACGTTTGTCACAACATATTTGTTTTAAATATATTTTTGTGCTGGTATTTTTGAAGGTTTTGTGGAGTTATTTAATAGTTTATAACCAGCTTTGTGAAGATTCAGAGAGAACCTCACAGGTCGTCAGATAGGTTTTATAAAAAGTAAAGCAGAATTCCTCAAAATGTAGCCCAAATTATTTTTAAAGTGGCACAAAAAGTAGTAAGTTGCCCAAATGTAATAGCCTAGAGCCCTACAAATATCTCAATCTGCTACTTGTAGCCAAATCTTGCAATCCTAAAACCCAGACGTATTTTATGAAATGAGAGAAAAACAGGGTCCATGTGTAAATGACATCCGAAAATCTGTTATCATAAAAGCAAAGTCATATTGACCAGATTAGAGTTGTTCTTGGTCTATCATTCTCTTATAGCATGTAGGCACTTTGATCTAATTGAATGTGTTAACATATGCATATCACAGTTTGGGCAGAATTTTCACTTTGAATTACAAAGCCGTATTTCAAACTAATCAAATTCCTTAACATGTAAGTCTCTATATCCCTAGCCAGGACAAAAGTACAGTTATGAATTAATGGGATTTTGAACTATTTGAGTTTGAATTAATGAGGATTTCCTGTATTTTTAAAACAACTTTTATAATATTAGAAGCATTTTTAAAAATTTTTACTAATAGTTACCACAGAGATGTTATTTAGTAGTTACTCTACATTTATACTTAATTTACATTGACATAGAAGCACTTATGCTTCTATGTCAAAACAAACTGACACACATAAGAGTGCACTCTTATATGTGAGGTATGCTCTTATAAGCAAAGCAGGATGTGTGTTTCAAAATTGTGAGAGCAAGTGATTTTCACTTAAGAGCATGCTCTTATATGTATGGAAATACTATAAAATTAATTTATTTGGATCTCACATTGAGCTAGAAATGAATAATGTCATTTTAAATATATATAGTTGTCTTTGATAACTTTTGGTTAAATAAGAAATGAAAATATATATCTTTTTGAAAAATTATTTGCATTTATTAGTTTGTATTGATTCAAATTTAAAAAGATAATGTAGTTATAAATATAACTTTTTTGAATAATTTATTTACAGGTCAGGAGAACATGGAAATGCTATAAGAATTGAAAAATTAAGATATACTGGCAAGGAAGGAAAAACTTCTCAAGGATGCCCTATGGCAAAGTGGATAATAAGGCGATCAGGAGTGGAAGAGAAGATTTTGACTATAATTCGGCATCGACCTGGACATAAATGCGCTACAGCATATATTATAATTGCAATTGTGGTTTGGGAAGGTGTGCCATTAAAAATGGCTAATGAGTTATATAAAACTGTTGTTTATAAAACTGTTAATTTTGGAATTCCTACACAAAGACGATGTGCTATGAATGAACAGTAAGTGTGTTTTTATTTTATTTTATCTATTTTGGACTTGTATAACTGTATCACAGATACAATTATACAAGTCCTGCAACAAAATTGTCCCACTAAATGTTTACTTTTAATTGTTTTATATGTAACATTGGTTTTGGTTTTCTTTATAATAATGTATTGTTGTTGCTGTATACATTTCAATGAAGTGATATACTGTGTCTGAATGAATTTAAATAAGTATACGCAAACAGTTTTGTCTGTAGACATTGCTACACTCTATCACGTATGGGGTTTTGTTAATTTATACTTTGGGGTATATCTTCCATGCCAAATGGCATTGCCTTTTGTTTTGATCAAATAAATAAATAATATTCCATCTCCCCTTGGCCATGAATCAGAATAGTCTAACTACTGATTTATGACTGGCAGAAACATGTGAAACATGCAAATCATTGCTACTTTATAACTGTTTGTAGCCAGCTGTTCATTTTGCAAAGTGAAATCAAAAACACAGCATCTGGAAAATCCTATCAAAAGTTTGAGGAATGCAATTATAACACTACATAAATGTGGCAAATCAATATATTTCATTTCCAAGAAATTGAATATACAGGCAATTTTCGAGTTACAACGGAGATCCATTCCTACAGCAGATGTAAGTCAGATTTCATCATAAATCCTATGCCTAATTTCACTTCCACCTCCACTTTCTCTATTGCTGACTCTATTTCCTCCAGATTTAACATACTCCTCTGGTGAGGCTCTCTACTGTTGTGTTGGCCCTCTTTTCTCAAGTTTTCTCTCTTTCTGGATGTTGTGTTCACTCTCTTCTTTTCTCTCTTTCTTTCTGATTTCTCCCTGGTCCTCTGACTTTCTGTTTCTCTTCCTCCCTCTTTCTCTATGTTTTTCATCATTCCTTTTTGCTTTATTCTTTTTCATGACCAATCATGATTTTATTCTGGAGAAAATTGAGGTAATGAAGGATAAGCATGATTGGTTATTCTTTAGTCCTCCTTCTCTCTTGTCTATTATGAATTATGTGTGTCCACATGATATGGATAAATTTTTAACATCTGTCACCTAACACTGTTGAAAAAGGAGGAAATGACAGTCATCCTCTTTGTCTTTTCCTCTGAATGTTGTGAAATTAATGTTATCAATTAATTGTTATAAAAAGATTTACAGATTGTAATTTAAGGAATAAAAAAAATACATGCTTGCAAAGAGTTATTAAATTTTATTTAAGTAACTTTTTATTTTGTAGTATTTAATTAAATGTAGAAAATGACTGTAAAGTTTAATATATTAATGTAAATCTTCCTCATTAATATTACCTAGAGTTTCATTTATAAATCAGAAAATATCCTGTAGGCACAAAATAACTCTCTCCCCAGATTATTGTCTGATGTATGAATGAATCCTAATTCTGTCTTTAATCACTTTGATTGATATCTTGGAAAATTATTTGAAAATATTGCTTAAAGTTACATAGAGATGTCATTTGTTGAAGTCTGTCAAAAAGTTTCTTCTCAGTTATTTTATTTCAAGAAAACAAAAAAATTTTTAAGTGCATAATGAATTTGTTTTTAAAAGATAAAATTTTGACTTCTAAAAATAAATTGATCTTTTTGCTTTTTAAAAAGAAATTTATTGTGCTTAGAAAAACTAAAAGAATTCTTTGCTGATTAGTGAGAAGAAGATTTACAGGATTTTAAATACATTACCTGAAGTATTTGGTGTCTTTTAAAGAAAGATAATTGTTTTCTAGAAATCATAGATTGATAAAATGATCTCATTTTTAGTTAAAATATATTTTCAAGTTTTTTCTCTGTATCTGTCAAGGTGATTAAAAAGAGTTTAACTTTCACTTTCTGTTTGTAGGATGTTAAGCTGAATTTGGATCAATGAGAGTACATTGTATTCTAAAATGGTTGACAGCTACCAGGTTATTGGCTGTTTAATCTTATTGATAATTGTTGTACATATTTTTAAATTGAATATTTATTTATAATAATGATGATTGTTAATCTGAATAATAATGAATATTTATTTAAAATAGTGTATAAAAATATTTGAAAATACATTTTGACAATTTTCTTATTTAATCTGAAAGTTTTGTTCAAATATTTTGTATGTACCTTTGGTTCTGGTTTGTAGTCGGTAATAAAAATATGTTTTACGTATGGTAATTCATTTAAAAATGATGATGAAGCTGGATAAATTCAAATCATTTCACAACAGTTAACCTTTTAAATCTATCAATAACTTTTTAATGAACATATATTTTCAGCCTTAAAATGGTTGAACATCTTCAGGTTGTATTGTTCTAGGAACTCCAATTTGCAAATAACTTCAGCTATCTTTGGAATAAACATTCTGTAACATCTGGCCACTGTTGCCATATTTAACTAAGGAACCAATTCAATTAGATAAATTTTCCAGATTTAGAAAGTGAACATTTAAAATAGTCAAAAATGTTTGTTTATTAAAACATTATTGTTGGATTTAAATGTTTTTTATTTCTTTCTTTTGAATTGATTTCATTCAAGATTAGTTGATAGTTAATATAACAAATATTATTTGATATATCCAATACCAAATGAAAATCTTAATTTATTTAATAGGAGGACATGTGCTTGTCAGGGATTAGATCCTGATGGTTGTGGTGCTTCATTTTCATTTGGTTGCTCTTGGAGTATGTATTATAATGGCTGTAAATTTGCCAGAAGCAAAGTTGCAAGAAAATTTAAACTTTCTGAGCCACAAGAGGTACAATTTATTTTTTAAAATTGAATTTTTAATGAAATAATTAATTTTTATGCTTTAAAATATAATTTTTATTAAAAATAAAAATAAAAAGAGATAATTAAGATTTTGTTGAAGTTTTATTAAATTTTATATATTTTTATTATAATGCTAATAATTTAATCATTGTTTATAATCTATGTATGTATTGTCTCTTTAATCCGACATTAAGTTTGGTAGACTATCATTACAGCTTTCTTTACCAATAAAATTTCAAATAATATTTATAATAATAATAATAAATATAAACGAAAGTTGATAAATTAAAAAATCAGGAGTTGTATATAAAATTAATTGTAATTGCCAAGAACCAAAAAATTATATAGGTGAAACTAGTAGAACGTTAGAATTAAGAATTAAAGAACACAAAGCAGCAATTAGATTAAAACACAATAATTCTCCATGGTTCAACCATATAAAAAATAGTAATTGTCAAATAGATAGAAATAACATAAAAATAATTCATTTGGAAAAAGATATGTATAAACGTAAATTTAAAGAACATATTGAGATTATAAAATTTAAAGATGATAATTTAATCAATATATCAAATGGTATGCAAATAGATCAACAGTGGTATAATATAATAGGTGGCACTAATGAAAAAAATTGGTTGTAGTGTATTTATCATAATGTTGTGACAGAGAAAAAAATTAGAAATATATTGTAAAATTGTCTATGTATCCCTTAAAAAATGTTTTTAATATTACTATGCTATCTGTAAAATGATTATAATTGTAGTTACTGCAACGTTATATTGTAGAACATACACATTCTTTAAAAGTTGTACTTATATAAGATTTTATGAGCAAATGTTAAAAGTGAGTATCGTGTTATATTGTTATTTTATTAAGATATATGATGATATAAAGTAAAAAATTATAAAATTATTAATATATTAAGGTTTTTCATATAAAAAATGTATTTGAGGTGTTTTTAATGGCTGTATTTTAAAATCTTTCCAATGTTACTCGTTGTACACCGTGGTTTTAGGAGACAGAACCATAAGTATTGTATAAGTGTGACAATTTTTAAGTATGATAGTTTTATGTCAGTAAATATGACCTGCATGCGAAGAATTTTGTCATGTTTCCAATTATGTTTTTTTTTTTAATTTTTTTTAATAATTTGTAGTATTGCACTGAAGAGGGACTTAACATTTATATAAGTCTGAAGTGCATATGTGGAAACAATAAAAGAAGTGTCTAACCTGAAAGCTGTAATGATAGTCTATCGAACTTAATGTCGGATTAAAGAGACAAGACATACATAGAACATAACAACAGCTATNTAAATAAGGGTTAACCAATTGACTTTAAAACTTGTACAGTGGACATTGTAGAATTCTCTGATCCCCGCTATCGCACCACAAGGATAACATTTCATTTATTATTATACCAAATAAACAAACTTACAATTATCATACAAAAGAAATATTAAACACTTAGGCTATGTACATATTACTTGTCTAGCTTCAACACGACACTACCGGCTACCTATAGGCAGATAGGTGGGAAGATGGCTTTTTCCCCCCTTTATATGAGTATTCTTCTTGCGAAGGACATTAGTTCATCTGCAAGGTTTCTGTCTCTTATTAAATTGTAAAGTTCTAGAGTTCGAGTGTTGGTATTCAGTTCGTGTAGACTAGAGAGTTCTGTTCTTTCTCTCCTGTATTTATAACAGTTAAGGAGTAAGTGACATATATTCTGTGTTTCCTCTCCACAGTCTCAAGTATCTATCTGATGCTTTCCGATTTTCTTGAGATATTCGTAGCTATTGTTGTGACCTGTGTAAATTTGACTAGTGATATAGTTGACCTGGAGCCAACTTAGGTCTTTGATTCACTCTTCTATACTTGGCAAGAGCCAAAATGTATGCCTTCCTTTCTCTGAGTAAGACCACCTATCTTGCCATTCTGTTACAATTTCATCTGTTATCAGTCTCTTAATACCGAAAATCGGGATTTTATTGTGAGTCACCACCGTCGTATGTGCTGCCTCTAATCTAAGAGGCCGGCATGCTCATTCCCTTTTATTCCGCTGTGAGCTCTTATCCGTCTCATTTTTATATTGATGTCACTCTGATTTATCATCTTTTTAATATTGAGAGCTGTCATATTGGTATCAGTGAATTGCTGCAAAGTATTTAATGCTGATTTACTGTCTGTATTGACAATAATTAGGCCAGACATCTGTGCTGTTATCACCCATTCCATCGCCATTTTTATAGCATGCAGTTCAGCCTGGTAAACTGAACATCAGTCATTCAGTCTATGTTGCTCAGTATATATTTCTCTGCCTTCATATATTGCCGTAAAGGCAACACCAACGCATCCATTTACCCCATTTTGTATTAATTACAATAATATTTTTATGCTGTTTAAATTATTATTAAATAACTTAGAATACAATAAAGTTCATTAAAAATAAATCTTGGCTGACAGTATTTACATTAAAATACGTATAAATAAAATTTACCAAAGCTACAAAATTGTCTTCGTGATCTGTTGTAACAAACATAAGAGACTTTCCAAAAACAATTTTCAGTTATGGAGACAACCATAAAGTACAATAGTTAAATAAATGTTCATATAATGTTTTCTAAAAAGTAATAGAATGAACGAAACAGAATTTTGACATTCTATTGGATGACCTGACAATTACACTTCATCAGGTCCAAATCTATCCATTTTGATATATGGAATTGACAAATTTGATGGCCTTACAATTGCAATACATCAGGTTGAGTAAGGAGTTTCATTTTTGGTTGAACAGTTATAATTAATATTTTTGACTCAGTGCAGTTTAGGAGATTCTATCTGAATTATTATTTTTTTATTTTACTGATTTTATAATTACATCTGCAATGAGTTACTTATAGAAACAAAAACAAAAAAAAATGAAATGGGAAGATAGAATGTTTGAGCTGTCATTTTACTAATGGAATCTAAACTTTGTATAGGTTAACTGATATGTTTTTAATGGCAACTTCCAAGGTGTAGGTTATACTACATTTTTATTTTTACTGTAGCAATTTTCTACAGCTAAATACACTGCTGTGGGTTATATGCCAGAAATTACATTAATTAATTTTAGGAATATCTAGTAAAAGAATAATCATAGCTGGATTTAAATTCACAAATTTTATTAGCATCAAGTTAATACATTGTCAATTAAAGAGAGTCACCTGTATAATTTAAGATGGACTTTTCTGGAATGTTATTTACTAATTAAATAGGTACCATATTTCTGTGCATATAAGAGCATGCTCTTATAGATGAGGCAAAATTGGCACTATATTGTACAAAGTGCTGAAAAAAACTCGCTGCAGGAAATCCTTGTTAGTTTGAAATTCAGGGGATGAAATATTTGCAACTTCGAGTTATCAAATTTCAAATTATCAAGATTTACATATTTCTGTATAATATGCCAAATGCCATGTAACTGATGTAATTTATTAAGCAAATGGGATATGCTATTTTCATTAATTAATAATAATAAATAATAAAAATAAACTGCAGGTAAACAGCATGTATCCAGTTAGAACCTTACAAGTGAAGCAGATCCAAATTGGATCAAAAACGTTTGTCACAACATATTTGTTTTAAATATATTTTTGTGCTGGTATTTTTGAAGGTTTTGTGGAGTTATTTAATAGTTTATAACCAGCTTTGTGAAGATTCAGAGAGAACCTCACAGGTCGTCAGATAGGTTTTATAAAAAGTAAAGCAGAATTACTCAAAATGTAGCCCAAATTATTTTTAAAGTGGCACAAAAAGTAGTAAGTTGCCCAAATGTAATAGCCTAGAGCCCTACAAATATCTCAATCTGCTACTTGTAGCCAAATCTTGCAATCCTAAAACCCAGACGTATTTTATGAAATGAGAGAAAAACAGGGTCCATGTGTAAATGACATCCGAAAATCTGTTATCATAAAAGCAAAGTCATATTGACCAGATTAGAGTTGTTCTTGGTCTATCATTCTCTTATAGCATGTAGGCACTTTGATCTAATTGAATGTGTTAACATATGCATATCACAGTTTGGGCAGAATTTTCACTTTGAATTACAAAGCCGTATTTCAAACTAATCAAATTCCTTAACATGTAAGTCTCTATATCCCTAGCCAGGACAAAAGTACAGTTATGAATTAATGGGATTTTGAACTATTTGAGTTTGAATTAATGAGGATTTCCTGTATTTTTAAAACAACTTTTATAATATTAGAAGCATTTTTAAAAATTTTTACTAATAGTTACCACAGAGATGTTATTTAGTAGTTACTCTACATTTATACTTAATTTACATTGACATAGAAGCACTTATGCTTCTATGTCAAAACAAACTGACACACATAAGAGTGCACTCTTATATGTGAGGTATGCTCTTATAAGCAAAGCAGGATGTGTGTTTCAAAATTGTGAGAGCAAGTGATTTTCACTTAAGAGCATGCTCTTATATGTATGGAAATACTATAAAATTAATTTATTTGGATCTCACATTGAGCTAGAAATGAATAATGTCATTTTAAATATATATAGTTGTCTTTGATAACTTTTGGTTAAATAAGAAATGAAAATATATATCTTTTTGAAAAATTATTTGCATTTATTAGTTTGTATTGATTCAAATTTAAAAAGATAATGTAGTTATAAATATAACTTTTTTGAATAATTTATTTACAGGTCAGGAGAACATGGAAATGCTATAAGAATTGAAAAATTAAGATATACTGGCAAGGAAGGAAAAACTTCTCAAGGATGCCCTATGGCAAAGTGGATAATAAGGCGATCAGGAGTGGAAGAGAAGATTTTGACTATAATTCGGCATCGACCTGGACATAAATGCGCTACAGCATATATTATAATTGCAATTGTGGTTTGGGAAGGTGTGCCATTAAAAATGGCTAATGAGTTATATAAAACTGTTGTTTATAAAACTGTTAATTTTGGAATTCCTACACAA